AATTTAAAGTTGATTTAGTGATAATAAGGCTTGTATGTCTGGTTTTGTCTTATTTTAAGATTCATAGTTTTCGGCCGGCATAAATGAGATATTTTATTAAAACTGGATTATTTCAGACCAGAAATGAGTTTCAGCCTTTCATGAAATAGGTTAAATGGTTTAATTTAAAATTGAAAGTGTACTGATATATATATATATATATATATATATATATATATATATATATATATATATATATATATATATATATATATATACATATATATATATATATATATATATATATATATATATATATATATATATATATATATATATATATATATATATAATTTTGGGGCCCGAAAAAAAACTGCAGCGGGGGGGGGGGGGGGATTATCAAGTTTTGCTTAGAGCGCTAAATAACCTGGCGCCGGTACTGATATTTAGGTCAGATAGTGCGTGTAGTATGTGCGGAGAGTGCGGTGAGTGCGGTGGAAGGTGTGTTCGATGTTTCTGTATGTTTGCGTGTATGTTTGTATGATTAAGAATGTTTTTTATACATTACTACACAATTTATACGATTGAAATGCAACTTAGGGTGTTGGGGAAAAAATTGGTTGGACTGCGCTTCAGCAGTGTACGATATGGCTCTTTGGCGTCTACATTCGTTCAAATGAGTGCGATACACAATGGACACGATGCACTACTCTAATCGTTCACTAAAACGATTCAGGTGCGTCCTTCGACAGGTTGCTGTTTAGGTTAACAAGATGTAGCCCTATTTTGATTCAATGACAAAATTTAGGATAAACAATATTTGTTTAATATATTGATCTCACAAATGGTTCAGTCTGTGTTATTGAATTGTAGTCGACTCGTGCCTCCAATGATAGCCGTACTGGGTTGACATGCCCCATCTGCCCGAAGTGCCGGATATTTAGACGCCAGTTATCCGTCATTCACTCCTTCACTTGTTAGTAGAAGTTTCGCTGGGCTTTAAGCCACACTAGCATGCTGGGCAGTTGTCAGACACTATTTGAGATGCCATTTAACAGTATTATATAGACAGTAGGAGCTTACCCCCACTGACACCCTAAGCTATACCAACACTGAAACCTATTGATTTCTAGAGTGAGTACACAAACCTACCGATGGTTTCGGTTTCGGCGTGTAGTAGTGTCGTGATACTTTATTTTTCCAGGTAACTTATTGGTTTTGTCAGCTTGCCAGCGTGTTAATTTTTTTATTCGAAACTGAAACAGCAGAAACAGCTATCGGCTCACGCTGACCTAGGAAGAATGTCACGTGTCGATCATTGAGTTGTGTTCAATCTATCATAAGCCTTCTGTCACGATGTCTATTCACGAAGAATGGGAGCATTAAAATCACTTGCAAGTTGAAAGCAATAAAACCACAGCAAAAAATAAAATGCTTGGCCACGTTATTAGAAACTGTTCTAACAATAATTAGGCTAATTGGCTTCACCAATGACTAAACGACGTGTGTAGGTGAAGAAGAAAACATTTGACGAACTACTCATATGTAGCAACAAAAATTGTACTGTTTTGTTTTGTACGTTTTTGGTCAATCAACAAGAATATGTAGTATCTAAAAATATTTTTCAGATTTGTTCCCATTTGAAAAAAAATATTGCCTAGTTTACAGTGAAACTAGTAGGGCTTCAAGATAGACTTTAAACAAGATAAGCTTTTTTTTAAAATGTGACGTGTGGGCTTTAACTTATTCAAACGTCAACAGGGCCTATTAGCGCGCTAGACACACAAGTCTTCTTCTTCTTCTTCTTCGTTCTTAATTATTAGTGTTGAAGGGGATCGAGATTTATCTGCCAGTGGGTTTGAACTCGAGACAATTAAGCGTTACGTGTCAACTGGTTATGCGCCATTGAGGCCATTGGCTCCGATTTCAGCCTGCTTTTCTTTTTGGATTTGTCCAACCAAGAACAAACTACAAGGCAGCAGTTGTTTAATTTTGGAGTTGTCTCTCCTAGAAGTGTGGCTGTCCCCAGTTAACGAGCCTCATCTGGCCGAGGGTTCGAACTCGAGACTTTTCGGTTTAGCAACCATGAGCTTTACCGACTCGACCACGCCGACCCTGTTAAAATATACATTTTTAGAATTCATTGGTGAACGTCTGTTATCTCTAGATAATAAGATTTGTACATGTAACAATTAACTAAAGATAAAAAAAGTAAAGGTCTATTTGTGAAACAAAGTAGGGATATAAGACACAGTTCAGGTAGTACGAGGGGAAGTTTGGCGACCAATGCGCATGTTTATTGGTTTTGATTAGCTGACGTCGACGTCGTTTCACCGGCCTCTGGTGTGCGTGTGTCGCCTAGCAACAGTTGAATGCTGGTGGAGAGGTCCGGGTATCGCTAGCCCGCAGCCCCAAGTGTGTGGGAGCACGGAAACTCGTTATGCCACAGGTACAGGCAAACAGAAGTCGATGAGGTTAGGGTACATTAAATCAGTTGGTACAGACCAACACAAGTCGATGTGGTTAGGGTACATTAATCAGTTTAAAAAGATCTGCTTCTCTGTCCTCTGCAACCAACATGCCCCCCTCCCCTCGCTCTACTGCTAGCTCTTACTGCCCCGCTACACACCTCCCGCTCACAACACCCGCGCTGTCACTCGACCAGTCGCTTCCCTTGGGGGGGGGGGCGGTCAACATTTTTTGGAGGGGGGGCAGACACTAGTAAAAGTCTGTTTTCTATATAAATTCCATCTCGGGGGGGGGGGGGGAGAAACTCTGCATGACACAGTCACTCAACACAATGGTTAGGTGTACACACACACACACACTCAACACACTGGTAAGGTGTACACACAGACACACTTAACACACTGGTGAGGTGTACACACACACACACACTCAACACACTGGTAAGGTGTACACACAGACACACTTAACACACTGGTGAGGTGTACACACACACACTCAACACACTGGTAAGGTGTACACACACACACACACTCAACACACTGGTAAGGTGTACACACAGACACACTTAACACACTGGTGAGGTGTACACACACACACTCAACACACTGGTAAGGTGTACACACACACACAGCACTCCGTCCACCATAGTCGGTCTGTACTAGCAAGTCAGTGTCAAGTCAGTGTCAAGTCAGTGTCAAGTCAGTGTCAAGTCAGTGTCAAGTCAGTGTCAAGTCAGTGTCAAGTCAGTGTCAAGTCAGTGTCAAGTCAGTGTCAAGTCAGTGTCAAGTCAGTGTCAAGTCAGTGTCAAGTCAGTGTCAAGTCAGTGTCAAGTCAGTGTCAAGTCAGTGTCAAGTCAGTGTCAAGTCAGTGTCAAGTCAGTGTCAAGTCAGTGTCAAGTCAGTGTCAAGTCAGTCTGAGTTGGTATAGTGTCAGTCCTTCACATTCAGCCGTACTCATTCAATACAGGTCATATAAGACCATCTTCTAAGCAGAGATATTACGTTATTTAATTCATTGACTTCTAGTTATGGTAAGGGGGACGTGGGGGGGGGGGGGGGTTGAATGTGTTTACTTCTTGGATACACCATTTTGCTTTAGGATAGACACACAAAAAAAACATTATAGATAAGAAAAAGGCCACCGATCACTACTGATCAGGTATATATTTAGAATTAAATATGTCATTGATTAAAAACTGACATTTTCCGACGTAGGAAGTAACCCATTCAAGTTAATACACCATCTTGAAGAAAAATGTTTATGTGTGCATACTTCGATTTAGAATGTCCAGCAGTTTCAAACAGGTACCGAAATTTAAGAAGTGATAGTGAAGTTAGTTACCACAGTTCTGATGGGTAGCTGAATTGATCTGTGTGTATGTGTGTGTGTGTATGTCTGTGTATGTTTGTGTATATGTGTATGTCTGTGTATGTTTGTTAACCTTCCATCTCTATTATTTTCCCTGCGAACAGGTTAACCCTCCATCTCTATTATGTTCCTCGTGAAAAGGTTAACCCTCCATGTCTATTATGTTCCCCGTGAACAGGTTAACCCTCCATCTCTACTATGTTCCCTGCGAACAGGTTAACCCTCCATCTCTATTATGTTCCTCGTGAACAGGTTAACACTCCATCTCTATTATGTTCCCTGTGAACAGGTTACCCGTCTAGCTCAATCAATGAGCACAACAGCGTGTTGACACATTCAGTTAAAGTAGCCGTATACATTCCCCCCCCCGCCCACTCCCTCCCCATACGGCCAAATTCCACCTTATCTCACCTATTCTCCTCTAACCTCCCCAGCACTTACGAGAGAGACTGGTGCGTTTGCCCTTTTTTTTTTTTTTTTTTTTTTTTTTTTTTAAAGATAGTTTCTTCAATAAATATTTGGGGAATTCCCCTAGATTAAAACGGCATCACTCATTGGCCGATAAAAATAGCGAGCGTTGAACAAAGACGTGTTGACTCGTCCCCAGATTCAAAACAAAAGCACGTGCCAATTTAATTACTTTTTTTTAAAGAATAGAACTTGATTATTTAACTCATTATCTTGTAAGGTAACTGTTGTTCGATTTTCTGTTCACTCATCACCCATTTTTAGCATTTACTTACACATTTATTTCTGCGTAAAGAACATAAGAACAAATATTCGGCACTGGTTTTAAAGTTGCGATGACCCAACATTCATATCTGCTCATGAAACCTTTGCAGGACGTATTCTAGTTCTCGATTGTCTTGTGTAAACTTTACATTAAAACTTAACTTGACCAACTTCTATTGAATTCAATATATCAGAGTTAGTATAAATTGCTGCGAATGACAGTTCTATTCCGACTCTCATCAAACCACCTGACAGTTCTATTCCGACTCGGATCAAACCACCTGACAGTGCTATTCCGAATCTGGTCATGTGTGAAAATATTAGTTGGTACGAAAAATAAACAAAAATGGTCAAAGCACATTCAATATCAGCTTTATTTTTCAATATAAATTATCAACTTTATTTTTCAATATAAATTATCAGCTTTATTTTTGAATATAAATTATCAGCTTTATTTTGATCATGACAACAATAGCCCTGCTATTGATGAGGCACTTGCCCTTTGTATGGCCCTTAAAGAATATAACGTGTATAGAGTATGCGCATATATTTACAAACGTACACATAATACAGGCACTAAACAGTGATGGAATGATAGGTGGAATCAACGTTAATTCACTGTGAGTCATGCCAGTTAGCAGACCAGAATTTTGTCACCTGATTCTCGCAGATCGTGAGAAGCTGACACCTGCAAGCAACCGATCTACGTGCCACGGTGCATGCTGTTACCTCTGGTGTAACTCAGGTATCAGAATCACCATGGCACGGTGCCTGGTGCTACCTGAGATGGAACTCTGGTATTGAATCACAGGTCTTGAAAGCTAATCAGTTATCAAAGTCCTGCATGTTTTACTATGTTCTGGTAATGATATTTTGTAGGCTTGTGAACTTTAAGCGGCTTTTGGACAAACAGCTTTCAACAGCTTCCCTAGACAGCAAGCAGTTTTATAAAGCTGTTGTTGTGGCCATCTCAGCTTCCAGTTTTCATAGACATTTGACTTTATGTTCCGTGTAGCGGATTTTAATTTTGTTTCGTCTCTGAAGGTTTTCTGACAGTTTATATCGCAACTATATGAATATGTAGAAGGAAATAGTTCCCATACAAATAGAGCATCTGCGCATGACCGGCGCGCACCTGGAGCAATTAGTCATGTGACCACACGTGAAGCTTTGAGTCGCAACATCCAACTGGAAGCACGTTTTACATTTTTGTCTCTCTGTAAATGATACATAAATATTTAGGTATTTCAATATTGACACTATGATACACAATTCTGGTGCATCCATTGTACTTTAATATAAAAAAAACACATTTTCAGTGAACATCGAACGTGCCACAGTAAACTGTGAAATAAAATATCACCTCGACGACGGGGCCGTCTTCTTGAGAAATTAAAAACGGTGTATGGGTCAGTTGCAGGTCTGTTTAACGCTCCCCTGAGCTCAATTTGTTCTGGTCTTCTTACAGCTCCCCTGAGCTCAATTTGTTCTGATCTTCTTACAGCTCCCCTGAGCTCAATTTGCATATACAGATCCACACTGATCTCATGGTGAATGTTTTCTTCTTCACATGTGTAGTTATTTGTCTGTACAGCTTCTTCGTCCTGTTCAAATAATTCAAGATATTATTTGCACATGTTACAGAACTGATTTTTTTTAAATGCCAGATCGTAAAAACTTATTAATAAGGTATTCTAATAAAGACCATGATTTTACTGTCGTAGCAAAATTTATATAAACTTTATTATAAACCAGGGGTTCCCAACCTTTTTTTTACTCTAGAGCACATTCTAAAATATCGGTAGGGTGGCGGGCACCACCTATTTTAAATCGACAAACTCCTTCCAGGGGTGTAGCGGCCCTTCCGGTCACCCGGGGACAAAACTTTCGATTTGCACCCCCCCCCCCCTCAAACTTTCGATTTGCACCCCCTCAAATTTTCGATTTGCAACCCCCCCTCCCCCTCAAATTTTTTATTTGCACCCCCCCCCCTCAAACTTTCGATTTGCACCCCCCCCCCCCCTTCAAACTTTCTATTTCCATCCCCTTCAACCTTTCAATAATGTTTATGAAAAAAATTCTGTTTCTATCGAATAGTGAGAGGCGGGCACATACGAATCGTTCGGCGGGCGCCATGGCGCCCGCGGGCACAGGGTTGGAAACCCCTGTTATAAACGCAAAGTGTGGGTCATAAGCACACATAATTCTCTTGGAAATGAATTAGTTTACTCCTGAAAAAAAAATAGATCTGAAAACTACAAAATTTGAAGTAACACGTTTAGAAACAAGTTAATTAAAAAAGTCTAGTGACATTTATGCGCAATTTCCTTATGTTATCTAAAAATAGCTCTGACGTATAATGATTGGGTGCGTTCAAGCTTGAAGAGCGATCGGTTTGTAGGTGTTTATGTAATTTTAAAATTTGTGACCGAACGAGAGGATATTTTTGAAAACTTTCTTCGGCAATACTGTTCTAAATTATGGCAGGAATCGATTGGTACATGTTTCAAGTCGCTAAGTGGTCTGGTTGCCGAGATATGGGCCAAAAACTGCATTTTTTCGAGGTTTTTTTGGCTTTTACGGGAAATACATGAAAGAAACCCGGAATTTTTATGGCCTATGCTCATTCTCGTAACTTGCTTAACATAATTGCTTTTGGAACTAGTCATCGATATTGCTTCGTTGAGGAGGAGATACGACTTAAAGCCCGGACACACATTCATCCATCCATCCATCCATTCCCAGAAATGACGAGTTAATAAACGCAATTCTCCAGAATGGAAATTGCGCTAAAAAACTATTAGAATCGTGGCCTTACCTCAACTGTAACATGCTGATCCATGAAAGTAGTTGTGAAATCGAAGCTTCCCAAACTGCCAACCATTCCACCTGCACTGAAATGATACACGTCTTCTAGTTTGAATTTTAGGTTTGAGTTATAGTTTTATTTTTCGTCTAAGGTAGATCATATTTAAGTGAATGCATAATATAATTGTGCTTTTGGGAGGCCCTTTTGTTCGGTATATACATAATTCTAATTCCACCACTCCTTTACACATTTAAAACGTGTTACAAATTCGATGCTTAAGTTTTTTATAATTATATTAAACAGTTTCTGCGTTTGCACAGAATATGGGATTGGATAATATAGTTAAACATTTTAATTAGGCATTGATTTCTTGTATAAAGTAAAAGCCCCAAGTTTAGAAGCTATTGGTTAAGATGCGCTAAGTTAATGACTTTCTAGCTAAAACCTTATATTTGTGTTTGTTATTCTAATGAGAGGTTAAATGTATGTGTGTGTTATTCTAATGAGAGTTTAAATGTTACGTTACGTTACGTTTGCCTGTATGTGTGTGTTATTCTAATGAGAGTTTAAATGTATGTGTGTGTTATTCTAATGGGAGTTTAAATGTATGTGTGTGTTATTCTAATGGGAGTTTAAAACATACTTGTCTGTCAGGTTCTCTGTGATCACAACAGCAGCCATAGCTCCCATCTCATTGGTGGGCTGTGGATATATGTGTTTGGTACTCAACTTAAAATTGAACAAAATAATCTTTGGATTTTTATTAACTTTTGTTTTGCATATGTTATATTTACATGATTTTTTTTCTCATACGTCACAATATCACCTCAAACTGAATTAAAGTAGCATTCTGTAATGTTACCTCATTGTGTGTTTCAGGAGGTCTCGTCAAAACATTCTGCTGCAGTGGGCTGGGATGGCCAGGGATTGCTGTAGGCCAACCAGATGGCCCGTCGCTCACAGGGTTGGCTGTAGAACCACCAGTACCGTGGTGTCCAGATTGTCCACCACCCGAAGTGTTGACGACGAGCAAAGTTTGAGAACCCTCATCCATTACAGCCGCCACAGAAGCTGTGATGGAACATGGAAGTTCTGGAGCTGTAGCCCGAAGACTCGTGGACACCTGCCTGATCCACATCATGATATCCTGGTGGTGCGTCTCTTGACATGCTAGCGATCACTCGTGGTGCCTCTCCCCCTCGGCTGTCACTGAAGTTCTGGAGCTATAGCCTGACGACTCAAGGACACCCAGCTGATCTAAATCTGCTGTGGCTGACGTGCTGGAGCTATAGCCTGACGACTCAAGGACACCTAGTTGATCTAAATCTGCTGTGGCTGACGTGCTGGAGCTATAGCCTGACGACTCAAGAACACCCAGTTGATCTAAATCTGCTGTGGCTGACGTGCTGGAGCTATAGCCTGACGACTCAAGGACACCTAGTTGATCTAAATCTGCTGTGGCTGACGTGCTGGAGCTATAGCCTGACGACTCAAGGACACCCAGCTGATCTAAATCTGCTGTGGCTGACGTGCTGGAGCTATAGCCTGACGACTCAAGGACACCCAGCTGATCTAAATCTGCTGTGGCTGACGTGCTGGAGCTATAGCCTGACGACTCAAGAACACCCAGTTGATCTAAATCTGCTGTGGCTGACGTGCTGGAGCTATAGCCTGACGACTCAAGAACACCCAGTTGATCTAAATCTGCTGTGGCTGACGTGCTGGAGCTATAGCCTGACGACTCAAGGACACCTAGTTGATCTAAATCTGCTGTGGCTGACGTTCTGGAGCTATAGCCTGACGACTCAAGAACACCTGGCTGATCTAGATCTGCTGTGGCTGACGTTCTGGAGCTATAGCCTGACGACTCAAGGACACCCGGCTGATCTAAATCTGCTGTGGCTGACGTGCTGGAGCTATAGCCTGACGACTCAGGAACACCTGGCTGACCTTGATCCAGCGTCGTACCAACCTCCTCGGGTGATTCCCCTTCAGCTGTACCCCTGAGTGGGACTGAAAGCTCCATCTTTGGTAGGTTTTTCCACTAATAAAAGTAGTATCAAATATATACTTTGGTAGGTTTTTCTTCTAATAAAAGTAGTATCAAATATATACTTTGATAATCAATGATCTAAGCCAAGGGTCTTCAAACTTATCAGCCCGAGGGCCGCATTAGCTATCAAATATAAGTTCGGGGGCCAGAGTTTCTTCCAGGTATTTCTTCAAGGTGGCTGACCCCCCCCCCCCCCCTTCCCCCACCCCGAAGAACGTCTCTTAAAGGAAATGTGATGCAAAACTTGTGACATTGGGAAAGTCTTCCTTGGGCAAATACTTATAAAACCCACCCTCACTTCTTTGATCTTGTCTTTAAGGAGATCATTTGCTGGGCACATGGTCACATTTGCTTCAATGGTAATTGCATCAAAGCTACATTTTTTATTTGTTTTGAATGTTTCCTCAGCCACCTCCGACAAACTTTATTTCTGTGGACAAAACTATCTCTGCGGGACGGATGAGAGGACTTCGAGGGCCGCATCCGGCCCGAGGGCCGTAGTTTGGAGACCCCTGATCTAAGCAAAAAGATTATTACAGATTCGGGGGGCGGGGGAGGGGGGGGGGGGGCGAAGAGATGCCGGGAAGAAACTCTGGTGGCGTTTTAAACCCTCGCAACTACAGGTAACCAAAAAAAACTAATCCAGTTAAAATCGCGATTTAAATGATGTATTCGGTAGTTAAAAAGAATGAAGTTTTTCTACCTAAAATTATGATTAAACATGGGATTACATTTAAGAGAATGTAATGGATTGTTTGGCTTTCTGTATTAAATTTAAGCTTCAAAATCATGTTTTAAACATTGTTGCACCCATTTAAAAATATTTGCCAAGCTGGTGTAGGATGCAGTGTACATGGAGGCCGATTTGACACAACCGTGTCGAGCTACACACTTAGGCAGACACAGGCCGAGCTACACACTTAAGCCGAGCTGACAGACAGACCGAGCGACACACTTTGGCCGAGTTAACACATCCGGACCAAGCTGCACAACCCGCACTCAGCAGCTAGTCTAACAAGTTCTACTTTAGGCTAAATGATTTTCTATACTAGTCTCCGCCCCGTCACGTCAATACACTTGAAAACGCCATTTTGTAAATCCAGTTCTCTGTCAACGTTGTTATCAAATATGGTGTATGGATATGTTTTTGGATATGTGCATATGTGTGATGCCGTGTATGTAACACAGGTGTGTATTTTTCATCATCTAACATAACTTGTCAGCTGTCACACTAAAATTAGAACATATCGTTTGGAGCTTAACAACTGAGCTCTGAAACCGTCTTGGGTGCATAGAAGTAGCCTGGAATACCCAGCCCTGCTTTAGCCGTTGACAGTTAGCGCGCCCCACACATCATGTTCGACGTTTTGGACATACTAGATGAATCTCATCCGTCGTAGTTTGGTTTTGAATTATGTTAAAATTTCATTTTAAATCGAAAGCTTATTACAATAGTGTAGTTATGGTGACGGGAGGGGGGGGGGGGTCGGCTATAGGTCAAGTAGGCCTTGTCGACAGCACAGTAAAAATAGAACTAGCGATTGATCAGATATGACAAGACCTTGACCTACATCAGACAAATGTGTAGGTCAAATAGGATGTCTTGTAATGTGAGTTAATACAAGACATTTGTGTTTTTAAATTATTAAAACCTAAGATTTTTCTCCCCATATAATAACAAAAATACAAGGCCTAACGTTTACAGGCCCACTAATTACACAGTGTGTTCTAGCTTGATCCTATTGGTGTGTTCCTATTGGTGTGTTTCTATTGGTGTGATCCTATCGGTGTGTTCCTATTGGTGTGTTCCTATTGGTGTGTTCTAGCTTAATAGTATTAGTGTGTTCCTATTGGTGAGGCGGATTCCAGCACTCAACATTTACTGTAGCAGAAGATAGAAATCTCAAACAAACCATAAACAATTCTTAACCTTAACTATTGGACTGAGATGCTGTCCATTGATGACGTCACAGACCTAGGGGGGAGGGAGGGGGTGTCTGATTTTTGTCTAGCGAGGGTGGGGGGGGTTCAGAGAGTGTGACAGATACACTTGCACATTTCAATAGGAATGTTGTAAACAATAGTGACCAACCTCAATATAGAATCTATATTTTAGAAAGGAATCAATGCTTTAAAAACACAGAATCTGTTACTGAGGGTGGGGTGTAGGCTGAGGTGTGACGTCGTATAAAGGAGGAGATGGGAAAAAAAATGTTTACAAAGCGCGACGTCGCGTATAAATTAGCCCTTCTTCTGACAGACGAGTTAATTACGAACACTTTGTATTACAGGCCTGCCGGCCATCTCCTTAAGACAGAATGTTTTTTTTATCACTTAAATAGTGTGAATGTGAAACTCAAAACAGATCTTTTATTTAAAACTAAAATACATTAAATAATAATCTGAACTAATTTTGTAAAAGTATAATTAGCCTAAATAAATAAAAAAAAAACAACAACTGTAAGTCAGTTATCGTATTGTACAAGCCTCTTCGAAAATTATGGCTACTTCAATTACTTCATCTGTTAATAGTTCTAATATTTAGAGATTTCACTTAACATTTCAATTATAAACTAACGAAACCAAAATCGTAAATCAATACTAAAAGAGCATGTAAAATAAACATACGTGCTGGGGTCGGTTTCTTGAAGTGTGTATTATTGTAGCCAGATAACATGTAACAACACATCCGTACCGTAACCAGAATGATCTTGTCTGTCACTCGCCCGAAGTTTGGATGTCACCAAATTTTAATCGCTGATGCATGTGTACGCTTCACGCAGCTAACAAGACGTGTGAGTGGGAGGTGGTGGGGGGGGGGGGTAACTAGGCGATACCGCCTGTCCTTGCAATGCAGGGGGAGGGGGAATGCCGTTTAGGAGACGCAAAATCCGCACTAAAAAAACAAAATAACTTTTGATCGTCTAGCGGTTTTCTAAAAATAAAACAGATCAGCTAGGCTTTCTGCAGTGATTGTCCTACAACAGGGGTCTCCAAACTTTTCAGTCCGAGGGCCGCATTAAGTATCAAATTTCAGTTCGGGGGCCAGTTTCTTCCAGGCATGTCTTTGATTTTTCTGGGCAACGTTCCTCAGCCATCACCAACAAACGATTTTTCCGTGGACAAAAAGATCTCCGCGGGCCGGATAAGAGGACCTCGCGGGCCGTAGTTTGGAGACCCCTGTCCTACAATAACAAATACACACTGTTTCGTTGGGAAAAAACGTCATGAGCTAAAGTGCGACTTATTTCCCCGCTTTAAATGGTCTAATAACGGTGCCCATAACATAAATTTCTTTTTAATAGTTTTGCATTTAAGAAATTAATAGTCATATCTTCTTTAAATTTTTTATTTTTTTTATTCAAATAAGGCATATGAGAAAAAAAAAGCTATAAAAAGGAGTTTATTCAAAAATAATAAAATAAATGCAAAAAAAAAGATGTAGATGTAGATGTAGATGTAGATGTAGATGTAGATGTAGATGTAGATGTAGATGTAGATGTAGATGTAGATGTAGATGTAGATGTAGATGTAGATGTAGATGTAGATGTAGATGTAGATGTAGATGTAGATGTAGATGTAGATGTAGATGTAGATGTAGATGTAGATGTAGATGTAGATGTAGATGCAGATGCAGATGTAGATGTAGATGTAGATGTAGATGTAGATGTAGATGGTAGATGGTAGATGGTAGATGGTAGATCGTAGATTGTAGATGCAGATGCAGATGTAGATTAGATGTAGATATAGATATATAGGGGAACTTAAAAATATGTGCACGGGGGGGGGGGACTTTTTAATAGTTCATTCACTGCGTGTAAGTTGCCACAACAACAACTAAATTTTTTATAAGATACAGTTCAGTGTTCTGAAATCATTTCTAATTCAGTAATACTACTCTATAATGTAGCTCTAAACACCAGTTCTATGGTTGGTGTGGTTAACCACTTGTTCAAAACCGCGCTAATTTTTTTTTCTGCCGCCGCGTCGTAGGCTTGAAGCACTTTTTAAAGTCGATTCTCTCCGCTACAAACTACGCATGCGCAGTGCGGGGAAAATTGTCTCCCTTCATGGCAATGTTTTTAATGTAATGTACATGCGTATATTTACCCTAATGGAAACCCTATTCCTTCATAACCAGAGTTTCTTTCAGGCATCTCTTTGAGGGGGCACAGACCCCCCCCCCCGGAGAAAAAGTCTGAAAAAAACCCACTGTACCTAACCCTAATTTCTAATACTAACACTAATACATTTATGACAATCCTTAATGGTAAGCCTAAACTTAACTAGTAACCCATGAAAAAGTTCAGCAGCAGTTTTTATTTACTAAGTAAAATCAGTAAAATAGCTACACTTAACCCAAGGTTAACCCTCTGTTTTATCCCCAGTGTCTGGTTCTATTTATATCCCTAGTTCCTGGTTCAAAGTCTATCCTTAGTGCTTGATCCTAATTCTATCCCAACTGCCTGGTTTCAATTCTATCCCAACTGCCTGGTTTCAATTCTATCCCAACTGCCTGGTTTCAATTCTATCCCAACTGCCTGGTCCCAATTCTATCCCAACTGCCTGGTCCCAATTCTATCCCAAGTATCTGGTCCCAATTCTATCCCAAGTATCTGGTCCCAATTCTATCCCAAGTATCTGGTCCCAATTCTATCCCAAGTATCTGGTCCCAATTCTATCCCAAGTATCTGGTCCCAATTCTATCCCAAGTATCTGGTCCCAATTCTATCCCAAGTATCTGGTCCCAATTCTATCCCAAGTATCTGGTCCCAATTCTATCCCAAGTATCTGGTCCCAATTCTATCCCAAGTATCTGGTCCCAATTCTATCCCAAGTATCTGGTCCCAATTCTATCCCAAGTATCTGGTCCCAATTCTATCCCAAGTATCTGGTCCCAATTCTATCCCAAGTACCTGGTCCCAATTCTATCGCTGGTATCTGATCTTAAACCGGTCAAAGAGAGCTACCAATATATCTAGGTCAGCAATCCACTCTAAACAAGTTTTCTGTGCACCAGGACTTGCTGCGTGACCTCCAGTCGGCGACCTTACCTTGGTTTGTGACGCAAGCGTTATGTCGTGTTGTCAAACAAATAGTATCGATTTATATTATCTATTTATACTTGAGGGTCGATGAAGTTGTTTATCCGCCTATGGTGGGCTTACTGTTGAATAGATTGTGTCACGTGTATTAATCAGTCATATAAACTAAAATCAGAACAAGTTGGTAGTATGTAGGTCATTTTTTTTTAAAAGTAGTAGGCCTAGCGATATTTAAAAATAAAACGATTATCGAACTAGTTAAGAAAGGTTGGATTCCCCGGGTCTATTTATAGTGTAACTGTTAGATGCAATTAGGCTCTGCCTAGTGCTAGGTATTTTCTAGGGGAAAAAAACAGTAACTCTGATCTACCTTGGTTATTGCGCAACAGTAATTTGTTTTCACCGCAACTAGGTCATTTTAAAATTACTTTTTTTTAATTATAATAATAATTGTTAATTTGTGTAGTATTCTATTTAATTAACTCCTCACTTGATTGGTTCGAACTTTTATTTTACACGTTTTGTTGTTACATGCCGACTAGAGTCATCATATATTAAAGATTGTCAGCAAGTGTACGCCCCATTTATTTTAACAACTTGTATGGATAGCTCTCGCTTCTTATATCTACCCTAAATAACTCGTCTGTGATGTATGCATTCTTTGTGCTCATACAATAAAAGCGGCTTCGGTACATCATTAGTACAGTTTAAAACATTACGTTAATCACCACGTTCTCCCGTTTTAAGTAAAAATGTTTAAATATTTGTCAAGCAATAGCATTAAATAAATCTATTGAACCAAATGTTACCAACAAACTAGGCTAGGCTTGCATGTGCGCATATACAGAGAGCTGCCCAAACCAACCAGGTGGAGAGGTGTGCCTGCATCCCATTGCTCCCCACGAACCATAAAGGAAAAATTAGAAGTCTATTTTTTCTTCAAGATTATATTTAAGATTACAAACTGAATTATATCACTGAATTAACGATCATAATATAACAAAATAATTTTTTTGAGCATGCTTAAAAGATTCTTTATCTATAAGCCGTTTTAATAATTAAACACAGTTGTTCACTCAAATATCTAAATTAGGTGGTCATTAATCTCAAGTTTAAAAGGTGTGACACCGTCTCATACATAAAAGTAAAAACCTGCTTATTTACATTTTACACTGGGTATAGTATGTTTGACATTAGTTGAAAAAAATGTTTCAGTCACCTTTACTGTAAAGTTTGTTTAACTGAGTTATTTCACCGAATCGTTACTACGTGTGTGCCATGTATATACAGTTTTTACCCATAACCTACTCCTTCAGTCACTGTTACATTTGTGTATAGACCATCACTCTACAGTATTCATTACCGAGGTACCACAATTCCCCAAAATACCGTCCCTAAAAAATACCAAACAAATGTCACAATTTTACATTTGACAAAAACGTGTGTAACATTTTTGTGTAAAACTTTGGAAAGCCTTCAAGTCAGTGTATCAACCTGTCACCCAGTGTTTATAAATAACAGGAATTTGGCAGAATTAAATAATAATACATGTTCTTTAGTTATAACGAAGAAAAGAAAACGTTGATAGCATAATTCATTAAGAATATAAGATTTCGGGCGACAAACACTTTAGTACCATCAGCTAAAATTAATGTTTTTTTTTTTAATTTTAGTCAATTTAAAAGGTTGTTGTTATAAAGGTTACTATACTATTTTTTTTGTGCTTGAACATCGTTTCTTTTTTTCTTATTTTAGTCATTTTTAACACGTTTTATTAACTCAGCTTCGCGTTTGTTTGTTGTTAAAATTGACAACGAAAATTAGCCCACTTCTGATTGCTCTAGAGATCTGAAATTCGGCATGCAGGCTATTTTCGCCAAACAATTTCAGATGCAATCATAAAAACTAGCAATTAGAGACCTAAATTAGCTTAATTAAATTACGCCCCTTCTCTGTTTAAAGCGTATCGGTCGCTCAAGATTTTTAGTCCGTGTGTTTGTTGACAACCCCAGACCATCACGTGATTCGTGAGTAGATCTCCACGCCAGCTACGGTAGCTACACACCTGTGGGTGTCCATTCCATTCGTGTTGACTGCGTTGAACTGAACAAATCGTTGTGTCATGAGGATTGGATATACCGATATGCGATATTAGACTTCTGAATAAAATACTTAAAAAAAACTTTTTAAAAAACCACGTTTTTCTTGTGGACTAAAAAGAAGAAAATATATTTTTCTTCCGACCCTAGGGGATCTACCAATGACTGCTCGTAGATTTTGTGCTTCCTTGAGCTGTGCAGGTTCTTGTGATGACTGTTCATACATTTGATGACAAAAAACGTGGGTCGGGCAGATTTATGATTAAAGCGAAAAGTACACAACACACGAATTTTGGAAATTTGATGGTGAACGTTTTTTGACATCAAATGTATGAAATTTATTTTCTACTTTTTAGTCCACAAGAAAAACGTGGTTTTTTAAAAAGTTTTTTAAAAGTATTTTATTAAAAGGTTGTTGTTGTAAAGGTTACTATACTCATTTTTTATGCTTGAACATTCGGAACAAAATGGCTTTATATGAATTTTGCAGGTAAAATAAAAAAAAAAAACACAAATTCGTCTTTTTATCAAAATTGTAACATATTCTTAACAGAGC